TTAGTGTTGTTAAGTACATCTTATCATGACTGGATGATTTAGGTGTGTGCTTGTATTTCTTAGGTGACCGGGTTATTGACGTGGGATCTGAGTGGAGAACTTTCAGCAATGACAAAGCAACAAAAGATCCATCTCGGGTTGGAGATGCTCAGAATCCTCTTCTGAGTAATGGAGATTTGTCTACTATGATTGGCAAGGTAATACGTCCGTTCAGCAGCTGGTCCCAAGTTCAGAGTGATCCAAGACCTAGGAGTTTGGGATCCTTATGACAGTGCCATCACTGCCCCCAGTGGGGAGTCTTGGGCTCGGGGTAAAGCCAGTACTATTGTCAGTGATGGCGGCCTCCTGTATTTCTTCCATCTTAGAGGGGTGAACAGCAAATCATAGTCTTTTTTTCTTTTGTAAACTAAAAAATTGAGTTTGGCGTGTTTTTTATAACCTAATATTGAATATTAGGAATGTCTTTTTTCTCTCCATATATATACTTCATAGGAATGTTGAGAGCTTCATGACTTTATATATAAGGTGTTTGCAACATAACCTGCAGTGAAGAGTATGTGCTATTAATGGTAGCTTTCATTAATATATAAAGCAGTAGCATAAATTCCCTGGCTACCTGGCTCGCTCTTCTGCTTCTTGTTTTTCAGTACTGGGAGTTGATCCCAGGCCCTCACGCTGAACTACATCCCCAGCCCTTTTTTATTTTGAGAAAGGATTTCACAAAGTTGCCCAGCTGGCCTCTAACTTGTGATCCTCCTGTTTCAGCCTCCTGAGTAGTTGGAATTTTAGGTTGTGTGCCACTGCACCTGGCCTACCTGGCTCTTTTTTGCTTTATTACATGAATTGGAATTAGTGTCTACAGAATTCTGAAGGATTAATTAAGGAAATGTATGGTATTTTAGAACTTTACTAATGTATATAGAAATCTGTTTTTAAGAAAATAAAAAGATTTCTTTTTTTTCGCCTAATCGATAAATTGCATGTCAAATTTGAAAAATGGGGTATAGGCTAATTTTCAAGGCGTACAGATTATATGCAGAAATATCTTTAGGTCACATCTTCATTTGCTTTAAGCCTTACAGGCTGGATGAATGGTATATTACAGACATTTTAAAATGTAAGATTCCAACCGACACTGTTACATTTAAAATATTTTTAATAGAAATATATGACTCAAAAAATAAATGTGTAAAGCCAGGCCTGGTGGTGCACACCTGTAATCCCAGCACTCGGGGGGCTGAGGCAGGAGGATCGTTCAGAGTTTGAGACCAGCCGGGGCTACAAAGCGAGCTCAGGGCCAGCCTAAACTGCATAGCGAGACTCTGTCTCAAAAAGACAAAAAAAAAAGGTATAAAAAGGTTATAGTAAATTTTCCTCTCCTTTGACCCCCAAATTCTTACTTCCACTGCAACTTCTTCCTCTGCCCAAAACAGGTAAACACTCTTAGTTTGTCCTGTGTCCTTTCAAAGTTATGCTTATGTGGCAAAAAGGAAAACATTTTAAACTGCTGCATTTGTCAGTGTGCATGCATTACATAGAGACTTCCTGTACACATTTGGGAATGTCTCTGGAGCAACTACACAATTTTGTCTTATAGGGTACAGGAGCTGCAAGTTTTGACGAGTTTGGCAATTCTAAGTACCAGAATCGAAGAACAATGAGTAGTTCCGACCGAGCGATGATGAATGCGTTCAAGGAGATAACGACCATGGCAGACAGAATCAACCTCCCCCGAAACATAGTTGTAAGTCCTGTGTGCCTCCCGTAAGCCGTTCTCGCACTGGCTTACCCCACTTTCATGAATACATGCAGTTTTGCTTGCTTGCAAGCAATTTTGATATCACAGCTAATTAAATGGCCTCGAGTTAATTAAACTTAGTTTCTCTGCTTTGAAGGATCGAACGAATAATTTATTCAAGCAAGTGTATGAACAGAAGAGCCTGAAGGGAAGAGCTAATGATGCCATCGCTTCTGCCTGTCTTTATATTGCCTGCAGACAGGAGGGGGTTCCTAGGACATTTAAAGGTAAGGTTTTAGTTGCAAAACAGAGCAAAGTCAGGCAGCTTGCACCCTGAGAAGCTGAGTGTGTCTTCATTGTTGCACAGGAATCCACCTGCGTATCACTTGCTCTTGCCTTATGTATTTTGTTCCTTAACGACATATTCGTACCATGGTCTTGGCATTTTCCTTGTAAGCTGTTTTGTCTGCAATTATTTTAGGCCCTATAAACCATTGCATTCTTTGCCAGTCAGATCTTTTGACCGACTGTATTTTGTGGGCATGGAGGCCTGGTACCATAAGTTATAGTAGGGCTTGTGTAGAAAATCTACAGTGTATGCATGGCAGCAGCTTCCCCTGCTAGCAGGTCTCTGTGAGCCAGGGAGTTGAGCCCACAGGAAGCATCGGTGAGGGTAGAGGCTTTGCGCTAACTGGTATTTCTCACTGTGTGAGTTTATGACAGTCTCTCTACATTGTGGTCACAGTATTTGTACTGACTTCACTGGCAAAGCACACTTTAGGTAAAGAATGTAGTAACCTTTTATTTTTTTAATTTATATATATACACACACACACACACAGTCACACATACAGTTTTTGTTTTTGTCTTTGTGAGACAGGGTCTCACTATGCAGTTCAGGCTGGCTTTGAACTCACTCTGTAGCCCAGGCTGGTCTTAAACTTGCAACGATCCTCCTGCCTCAGCTTCCTGAGTGCTGAGATTACAGGTATGCACCACCATGCCTGGCTGAAAATACTACTTTTATAATCAGAGGTAACTGATTTTAAATAAAATGAAGTATATGATTTATATGGATTTATTTAAATATTTTTTTCTTTTAGAAATATGTGCCGTATCACGAATATCTAAGAAAGAAATTGGCCGATGTTTTAAACTTATATTGAAAGCTCTAGAAACCAGTGTGGATTTGATCACCACTGGGGACTTCATGTCCAGGTTCTGCTCCAACCTGTGTCTCCCAAAGCAAGTGCAGATGGCAGCGACACACATAGCCCGCAAGGCTGTGGAGCTGGACTTGGTTCCTGGGAGAAGCCCCATCTCTGTGGCAGCAGCAGCTATTTACATGGCCTCACAGGCGTCAGCTGAGAAGAGGACCCAGAAAGGTGAGGTTGGTCCCCAGGAAGCATGGCAGCAGAACCGTGACGGCCGCAGTGCCGACTGTCACCACTTCAAATGTGACGCAGGTCAGGGTCCGGAACCCGTAATTGGGAAGTCGCTCCTCAGCACCAAATGTCTAAGAAAGAGCAGCATTTTGCTTAAGTGGCTAGTAAATAATGATGTGCAGTGGCATGGCCGTGTGGCCAAAGATTTTGTTTTCATTTCATTACTGCTTTTTGTTTTTACATTTTTCAGCTTTAGAGCCTCTCTCCAATTGCTGTCATTTTAAATAGCGCCCCCACCCCAAACCTGTTTTAAGCCCTAAAGAAGGGAAGGGCTGGTGCTTCCTTTCTGGGTGAGGCGTGTTACTTTACAAACAGCATGCTCTATTGCAGACATGTATTTTGCTTTCTTGGTCTTTTGTTGCTTTAGTACGTGTGTGCCGTACATCATGACTACATCCGCTGTGGAGAGTTTGTCTGTGGACACTGTCCGTGGCCGGTGTTCTATTGATTGCAGAGTGCTTTTGTGTATATTGAACCTTTTAATACTGTTGGCAAACCTTTAAGGTAGTAAATAGTACTACATTATCAGTATTTTAACTGACTTTACCTCCTCTGTTCTGTCTTTTAGTTTCTTTTCTTTTTATTGGTTGGTTGGTTGATTTTTTGAGACAGGGCCTCGCTGTGTGTTCAGGCTGGCCTTGAGCTCATTATATAGTCCAGGTTGGCCTCAAACTCATGGTGGTCTTCCTGCCTTAGCCTCCCAAGTGCAGGGATTACAGACATGTGCCACCATGCCCAGTACTTTCTGTTTTTTGTTTTTGATTTCTTGAGACAGGGTCTCACTGTGTAGTTCTGGCTAGCCTTGACCTCACTGTGTATCCCAGGATAGCCTGGAACTATGAGCAGTCCTCCTGCATCAGCTTCCCCAGTGCTTGGATTACAGATGTACATTACCACACTGGCTTTCAGTTTGTATTTTCATTATCATTTTTGAAGGTATTTTTTGGGTTTTGGGTTTTGCTTTTTTTGCTCTTGGGTAGAGGAAGGAAATGGAACAATATGCTGGTTAATATTTTGGTGTTTTTGTCTTGCAGAAATTGGAGATATTGCTGGTGTTGCTGACGTTACAATCAGACAGTCCTACAGACTTATCTATCCCCGTGCCCCAGATCTCTTCCCGTCAGACTTCAAATTTGACACCCCAGTGGACAAACTACCACAGCTCTAAATTGAGGCAACAAACGCAAACTCGTGTACGCAGAACTCTGCGTATTGTACATAGCCTATACATAGTGCTGGGTTGAGCCTGCCCGAGGAAAACAGACATGGTACGCATTTAGGCCTAAATGTTACTGCTTGGCATTCTGTATGTATATACTAGTGAAACATATTTAATGATTTAAATTTCTTACTGAATTTGCTTTCTTTTGTAGCAATCTAGGAAACTGTATTTTGGAAGATATTTGAAATTATGTAAAATCCTTAAATAAAACATTTTTCAAAACTAAATTTTTTGTTACAATGACATATGTAATTTATAATATATAATTTTAAATAATGTATATCATTGCAGCTTATGTAGCTGATAGAGGTCCTTGTTTTCCATTTTTCTTTTACATATATAGAGAGGTTTTAAAATATTAATAAAGTTGTGCAAATAGCAAAAAGTTTTGAGAATGATTGTTAACATCTATAACATTGTTTGTAGTTTGAAAGGGTGTGTGTAGTCAAGTGCTGGTGCACACCTGTTATCACAGCGCTTGGGAGGCTGAGGCAGGACTGTAGCAAGTTTGAGGCCAGGGTGAGCTATAGAGTGAGTTCAAGGCCAGTAGGAACTACATAGTAAGACCCTGTCCCTCCCCCCCCCCACGAAAAAAACAAAAAACGGTGTGTGTACAAGAGGTTTATTTAATATATAAATTAAAGAAGATGTGCCAGCCACAGTAGCACACCCCTATTTGGGAGACTGAGGCAGAAAGGGCACAAGTTGTGTCTATGACCCTGTCTAAAAAAATAAAGGGGCTGACATTTCGTCTCCATCACAAGAAGTAGTGAGCTGGACCTTGGGAGACGGTAGCTTAGGAGATGCTGAACTGATTTTTTTAGTGAACTTTTGTGGGAGTAGTTTTTGGGAGGTGCAGGGGAAGACAAGGTCTCACTATGTCGTTCAGGCTGCCCTCCAGCTCCTGGTGATCCTCCTTCCTCAGCCTCCTGAGTGCAGGGATTACAGGCCTGCACCACCACGCCCAACTCTCAGCTTATTGAGCAGAGATGATGATGCTGGTCAGAAAGTACCAGCAGACTGTACTTTATTTATTTATTTTTTTTGTTTTTTGTTTTTTGGTTTTTTTTCCGGTACCGGGAACAGAACTCACGACCTTGTGCTTGCCAGGCAGGCGCTTTGCCGCTGAGCTAAATACCCAGCCCCCAGCAGACGGTACTTTAATTAGAGATGTTACTGTTTCATTTTATAAAGTCTGTAATTTTTTATTCTTAGAGCTATTACGCACTCACAGAGTAAAGAAAACTTACAGTGGAGATCGCTGGGTGTTGGAAGTGTCCGTGAGGAGTGTTTCAGCCAGCACCGCTCGGTGATGGTGGAACAGCAGGTGTCTCGCACATCACTCTTAGGGGAGCATGGATTTAGGTGAGAGGCCCGGCACGACTTTGCTGTTCCCCTAGGGTGGTTTTTACCTGCCCAGTGTCGGTGTCCTGTGGCGGCAGGCTGTTTCTCACCACCCAGTCAGACGCCGGCACCGGCAGTGGCTTGGGGGCGCAGGTTCAGACGCCACCTGTAGAGAGGATCAGACTTCACTGCTGTTCTGCTCACACTGGAAGGGGAACGAGCCCTGGGACGTGAGGACAGAGTTCCTCCCTTGGACAAACAGCTGCTCATACAGCATGCCTCAGACCCAGTTGACAACAGCTAGTACCTGACAGAGCCGCAAGCCCAGCAGCAACCCCTAAGCCAGCAGGTAGACGCGCCCAGAGCGGGCCCTGCGAAGGAATCTGGCCCTGTGGTTCATCCTGTGTGGATGGAGCAGCGCTGAGCCCTTGGCTGCTCCCAGCCCCGATCCCAACCGCAAACTCCCAGTTCAGTGAAGCTTGCAGCCTTCACTCAGTCTAAGAATCCCTCTCACAGTTATCAGTGCTCGGTGCATACACAGTACAGGGACCTTGTGAAATAAAGCATCCATAAGCCACACACAATAGTGATCGGGATTTTTCTCAACTGCTTTGCCGTACATTTTCTTAAATGAATTCAGAGGCTGGGCGTGGTGGTGCATACCTGTAATCCCAACGCTTGGGAGGCTGAGGCAGGAGGATCACTGTGAGTTTGAAGCTAGCCTGTGCTACAAATTTGAGTTCAAGGAGAGCCCAAACTGCATAGTGAAACCTTGTCTCAAAAAGAAAAAAGGAAAAAGTGATTTCAGGTATAGTAATGCAACTTTTTACTCTTTTCCTTGTTAGAATTTGTGTTTATTAGATAATTAGAAAAATGTAGACAGGAAAATAAAAAGCTTCTGCTACTGAAGTGTGTCTACATCTTGGTCCATGTTTTGTTTTCTATCCATTTATGAAACTCATGAAAAAAGATTTTAAAGATTAATTGGGGCAAGGGTATGTTTACATATATGCACATGTGTATATGTGTGCATCTGTGTATCTTTTAAGTTGCATTTACTTTTGTGGTACAAGGATTGAGCTTGGGGCCTCTGTACTGAGCTGCATCCCTAGCCATTTATTCGTTTATTTATTTAGAGGCAGGGTCTCACTTTGCTAAATTATAGAACCTGTGACCCTCCTGCCTCAGCCTTCCAGAGTGCTGGCATTGCAGATGTGTACCGCCATGCCCAGCTGAGTTTATATTATAGATAACTGTTGAAACTACAGGATTTAGAATGCTAGTTTTTCTAAAATCTACTCATGATTAAATCAACTTCTCATTATAGATACTAAAATACGGAAAAAGTCGGCTGGGGATGTAGCTTAGTGGTAGAGCACTTGACTAGTATGTGTGAGGCCTTAGATAAACTCTCCAGTCACACACACAGGCGCACACACGCATGGGCTTCCCCTGCATGTGTATTGTTGATTCACAACTGCTTTATTATGGAAAATTTATACTTACAAATTGAAAGAATCACAAGTGAAAGGAATTACACATCAAAAACAGGACACTAAGCTGGTATTTGAACATGGCTTTCTCTCTAGAGTAGGAAAAACTATCCCAACATGTCCTGGGGAGGTGATCGCACTTCAACTTTTGAGCACAGCTGCTTTAGGGATCTGCACTTTAGCAAGGTCGCAATGGTAGTGAGTTTAGCAGGACCGTTTCAGTGAGGATCAAGTGGCCCCATTCTGTGCAAGCTAGCATTTTAAACATTTAGAGACAGGGTTTCACGATACAGTTCAAACCAGCCTTGAACTGTGTAACAGGTTGACCTCTATCTTGTAGTTCTGCCTCAGCCTCATGAGTGCTACGACTCCATTCGTGCACCACCACGCCCCCCAGCGCTGGCATTGGGAACAGTTGACCTCATTAGCATGAGCCCGCCCACTCAGGTATTTAAAGGAAGGGTTCACCGGCAGTCCCCTTCATTGACAGTCTCTGCTGTTACTCCGAATTCAAGGGTTTCAGTTTCTTGGAGTCTGTGTCAGAGCTCTAGTCCAGTCTGCCCAGTTTGCGTGTCACAGAAGCCTAGAGACACCAACTGCCCGAGTTCGCTTAGTAGAGACGGGATTAATGTTGAACGCTCCACCCAGCACTCTTGCCACTGCAGCATGCCCCTGAGATTGATTTCACAGGAGGTGGCCTTGGTACTGAGCTTAGCGGTACTTTTCAAGTGGCATCCTCCTCAGGAAGATGCTGGAATGCAAAATTTCCATCTCGTTTCTTAGGGGACGCTTTTGAGAGTGAGCTTTTAATTACTTTTAAATCAGCCCGGTGACAAAGAGTTAATGGTGAGAGATTGTTCTTCAGCCCTTTCCCCAAACTCAATGCATTTTGAACTTCATGCCTCTTGATAGTGAGCCTTTGTGTTCCAGACATGTGTGCTTTACCCACCGACGGCTTTGGTTGCTGAGTTAATTTTGTATCACAGGTGCAAGATTTACTTTAATTATCAAGATGCACAGCTGAGGGGGCAGCCTATTACCCATCTGGTCCTAATCCAGCCAAGAGGCCTATGTGCCCCGTGCCAATATTTCCAATTGTCAGTGGCCCTGACTTTTCCTGTTGCTGGATTTTTAATCTCATCTGCCACTGTGGAGCTACTGGAAGATTCCCTGACCCCCTAAACACCAATCCTCCCCCTCCCAGATATTTATACACATGTTCCAGCAGCGTCTCTGGGCTGAAAGGCATTGCTGTAAGGGCATTATTCAGCTTCTCTCTAGGCTACAGACACGCCTGAAGCTTTCATAATTTTTTTTTTTTTTTTTTTGTTACTGGGGATTGAACCCAGGAACACTATCATTGACCTATATTCCCAGCCCTTTATCATTAATATTATTATTATTATGAATTTTGTGATACTGGGGGTTGAACCCAGGACCTTCACAGTAACCTGTACCTCAATGCTTTATTTTTTATTTTGAGACAGGTTTTCACTAAGTCACTAAATTGTCCTTGCTGGCTCAGACTTGAAATTTTCCTGCCTCGGCTACTTGAAATGCCGAGATAACAAGGGTGTGCCACAACGTTGAGCTAAACGTTCATTCCTAATGGTCAGTGCTGCTTCTCTGCTCCTAGGACTGGTGGGAGTGGCACTGAGATATAAGCTGCTACTTCAGGAGGCCTTGAAAGGGGAAGCAAAAGATGACTCTGTGAAGAAAAATCTATTTTTGCCTCTACTTACATCCCACTCAACCCTTTCTCCTTCTGAGAGTAAGTGAGTGTGTGAGCTGGGGTCTTCCTGTGTAGCCCAGGCTAGTTTCAAACTTGGCCATCTTCGAACCCCTCCACCCCGAGTGCTGGGATCGCAGGCCTGTGCCTCTGTGTCTGGCTGTTTGACACTTCTGACCTCGTAGGTGTGGGGTTCCCCCGTACCCGGCAGTTCTGCAGACATCAGTGAGGTGTCGTGTGACTGAGGTCAGTCTAACACGACCTGCCTGGAGATAGCACCAGACCGTGCAGGTAATGGCACTGGATGGGGGTTGTCCGATGGGGCTTCTTCCCAGGTGTTTGGTGTCCTGAACAAAGAACTGGATGGGAAAAACAGAAAAGGTAGCAAAAATGAACATTTCTTGAAGGTGGAAAAGAGGTGCATTCTACAAGATGAGAGCAGCCAGAGGACAGGCTCGCAGTGCCTCAAAGATAAGAGAAAGGGGTCGTTTGCACCCATATTTCTGAACTGGCTCCTCCCTCATGCAAAGAACACACTGTGACCATTGTCCCAGCTAAAATTCACCTGGTGTACCACTACATTTACATTTCCCTATGGTATCGAGTTAATAATATCCCTTAGTTATTGCAGGCTGATCAGGTCTGCAGTCTCCCAAATGAATGTACAGCCAAAGCTAAATAAAAAGAGGTGAATGGAATAATTTCCAGGCTCCAAGAGGATCAGAGCCCTCTCACAGAATTTGAGATTCTCTCAGGGCTAAGACCAAGACCTTCTCTAGGTGGCCCATATTTATTTGGTTATCAGAAGGGAAGAGATTACTCAAGAAGGGTGGAATTACTCAAGGACTTCTCCAAGTAAGTATTAAATTAATCCTTAATAAGGATTAAGGTAATCTATCCAGGAGTGAGATGCCTCAGACTAATCTTTATCTAGTTAAAATTGGATCCAGGTGTCCTTGACTGTGATCTTATCCTTTGAGGCTTTCTAGATTCATCCAACATTACAGGTTTTAGTAGATATTTGTGACTCAGAGGTTCATTTACTATGAGTCCATCACTCCCAGACAAGTGGCCTAGTCACAAGTAAACATATAAAGTCAATTGGTTAATTTAAGTCCTGCTCTGGGCTGCTTCAAAGTGGTCTCCATAACTATGGAAGACCAACTTGGCTTCCACCAAGTGTAAATGAAAGATTAACAAGAGCGTGTTTCTGACTGTCCCGCAACAACACGGGATTCAAACGGATTGAAAATGCCTTCTGATTAGTTCTGTGTGCAGTGCTCAGGAGCACAGGAGTCATTTTGCATCCCATTCTGCTCCTGTCCTCTGCATTTTTATGACCTTTGACCCATCCCGCTCAGTTGTTCAGTTTGCCAGCCCTAGGCTACGCTGGCACAGTCCCACTGCCAGTGCCAGCGGGAGGAAATGGTAGCTGCCTGTGACCTCTCAGACTGGCTGTAAACTGGGGTGGGTTTCACTAATTTGCTAGAGCAGCTCACAGAATCCAGGGAAGATATTTGTCAGTTGTTATAAATGGTGTTACAAACGTACAGATGAGCAGCCCGATAGGACAGATGAACAGGGCCAGACACATGGAGAGACAAGGTCTTCCATCCCCTCAGGCACCCCGCCCTCCAGCGAACTTCAAGAGTTCAGGCTGGAGGCTTCTATGTCGGCCTGATTGACTGCATCCTTGGCCATTAGTATCAGGCCATTTCTCAGTACTCTCTCCTTCCTGGAGGTCAGGGGTGGGCATGAGCACATTTCCAACCCCCTGATCACACAGCTACCCGGCTCCATCCTGAGGCTGCCTGGGAGCCTGCCAAGACTCACTTTGCTGCAGGAAGTCACGAAGCTGGTAGGGGCTAGAGACAAAACACTAGAAAAAAAGATTCCCTTAGTGCTCCTATTGCTCAGGAAATCACAAGTTTCAGGGGACATATGTTAGGAAGCATGGCAGACATACATCTCACAGTGGCACAGTGACCATAAAGCTTTCTCCACAAAGTATCAGAGCAGTATAGCTAGCAAAGCTGTGATTTGACACGATGTTTTTCTTGAGGTAGCCCAGGGTGACCTTGGTCCTCTTGATCCTTCCACCAGGCTCCCCAGTGCTGAGAATACAGGAATGCGCCACCACGCCCAGCATAGCACTGGAGATTTTGTTAAAGAGGATTGGTCTAGTATAACTCCTTAGTTTTACAGATGAAAACGTTAGAATGAAAAATTCCCATTGCTCTGGTGAGGTGAAATGCCCCAAGGTTACAATACTAGTTGGAGCAGAAGAGGGCCTCGTCTCAGTCCTCTGGCTACCTCCGTGCGCTTGTTAGGTCTTGGATGACCACACGGCAGAAAGTTCTCTGCAGGTCAGCGAGGGCTGAACCTGAAGGGTCACTACAGTGGAGGTGGCCAGAGGGACACCTTGCTTACGTTGGATCCCAGCTGCAGGGCACAGCAGCACTATCTCAGGCTGGGTATCATTCGCTAATGTTAACATTGTATTATTTTGTGAGTCTCCAATCTCCATAAAGAGCAAAGAAGACCACTCATTCTCCATGGTGTAAACCCTGCCGATAGCACATACAAGAGGTGCATGAGACACGCCTTGCATTGATGCAAGGGGTTGAGGGTCTAAGACAGGAGGAAGAAACACCCTGCTTGCATAGAGGGCAGAAAGCAGAAAAGCACTTTTAAAGGGAGACAATGGGGTGGAACAGGCTCTGAGAGGGTAAGTGGAACTCACACTGTGGGGAGACGTTCTTACAGCATGGTCAGATTGTAGGCCACATGTACGTGGTGTCAATATTTGGTTCCCTACCTAGAGTGCCGGTTTATGCCCTGCTTGACCCTCGTTAAAGCTGCTGCCACCCTTCCTGATGGCTGAGGCAGCTCCTAGCTCTTGCACAGAAGGCTGGTGGCATCTCTGGCTGAAGACGCCCAAGCGGCTCTGACAGTGGCAACTGAGTAGGAAGGTGGGAAATGCAAGGAGCATGCCCTTGTACACAGGCCCTTTGTGAGGCCCTGGACCCAATTTTATAGCTCTAATTTCCTAGTCCTAGAAATGAAGAATTTTTAAGGAGACCCTCTGAAGTAGGATATACTCTCAGCCCACAGGAATTCGCTCCGTCTCTATGACAGATAATGTCTTCTGAACTGGGGCTGCAAGGGGACCCACTCTTTCCCAGGCCTACATGTCCACTCCATGGTAGACTTTACACCCACTCCAGCTACAGTGACACTTCATTTCCTCAAAACTGCCTTGTTCTGTCACCTGTGGGCAAACTCAAACATGCTTCCCTCGTGCAGAAATTCCTCTCTCCTTGTTCCAGCTGACCTCTATGCAAGTGACAAGCTACCAAGACCTCTGGAAGTCTCCATGACTCCAAGCCGGGTTTTCTCAAGTACTTGTTTGAAGGACAACAGCATCTGTCTCCTAGTGGAGCCTTGACCACACTCTAGTGTCATTGCCAAGGGACTTACACGTATCCCCCAGTAGACCGCAGGCTCTGTGGAAGCAGTGACTGACTTGTCCTTCGTGCCTTGTCTGCACCAAGCATAACTCCTGGTGGCCAATAATTGGGGATCAATAAATATTTATTGTATGAATAAACATCTAATCTGATTCCAATGCCGGTCACATGACAAGTCAACGTTCCTCTGCACAACATAACAATTTTCTCCCACTTTTTTTCTTTGAGAAAGGGTCTTGTTAGGTACTGCGGGCTGGCCTTGAACTCACTTACATAGCCCAGGCTGGTCTCCAATTCATGCTGATCCTCCTGCCTCAGTCTTCCAAGTGCTGGGATTACAGATGCACACTACCACGCCCAGCTCCCACCTCTGATATTATGAAATTAAACTATGAAATTTAACTTTGAAAGTTCTTTGAACCTTAAAATTTCCCTTGGATGCTTACCTGAGTATAATAAACAGCATTAGTTTTGTTGGACAGGAAGCCACATGGGAATATAAACTTTTTTTTTTTGTCTTTTTGAGACAGGATCTGGCTATGCACTTCAGGCTGGCCTTGAGCTCACTTGTAGCCCAGGCCGGTCTCAAACTCACTATGATTCTCCTACCTCAGCCTCCCAAGTGCTGCGATTACAGGCGTGTGCCACTATGCCCGGGTTGGGGGTATAAACTTTATTCATGTATAGGTCAAATGATAAGGCACTAAAATGTTTAGATTTCCTTTCCGATTCTACACAAGCTTCCAGAACAAAGGAAGTAGATCTTAATTAAAAAGAGAAATTTCAACTACTATTCTGGAGTTCTGAAAAGCAAAAGTGGTGGCAGGGGTACAAAGGGTACTAAAGGGTCTGAATGATTTACAGATGCTATCGTCCATCTATAGAACACGGTGTCATTATTTCTTTTAGTCCAGGTTTGCAGTATGTGGTGATTACGTTCACAGTGTTGGTACCTGTATATGATGCATCTTAATTCTTTTTACCTCCTTTTCTCCTCCTTCCACATTTAGATTCCCATCCCATTTGCACAAGAAGTCTGACTCCTATAATTCATCCTTTATTTTGCCCTTTAAATCATTTACTTTGGATTTCTCATATAAGAGAAACAAATGGGATATTCAAACTTGTGTACCTGATCAGTGTAATTATTTTTAATTTTTTTTGAGATAGGGTCTCACTATATAGTGCAGGCTGGCCTTGAACTCACTTATGTAGCCCAGGCTGGCCTCAAACTCATGGCAATCCTCCTGCCCCAGCCTCCCGAGTGCTGGGATGACAGGCATGAGCCACCACTCCTGGGTTGATCAGTGTAATTATTAAAAAACATAAATGTCAATACTGAGAAAATACTTCAGATAACATTCCAAAAAGAACTGGAATGAAAACTTCACAGCCCAAATGAAAGGTTTGTAGGTCAATGGAGAACCAGCCTGTCAGAGGAGTAAACATTGAGCTGAAGAAGGAACTCCTAGCAACAGCTAGAAAAGTCACCAAATCTCTCTGCATAAGTTGAGGAGTGGAACTAGGTAAGTTATCAGTAGCAGGTCATGGAAAATGGGGCATGCTCAGCGTATAGTCCAGGCTGGTCTTGAACTCGAGGAAGTCCTTCTGCCTCAGCCTCCCAAGTGCTAGGATTACAGGCTTGCACCACCATGCCTGGCCTGATAACTCTTTTAACTCTGTTGCTGACTTTAGCAAGAGTAAGATGTGAATACTTACTGTGTTTACCAAGCAGATCATATATATGGATAGATAGCAAGAAGTCTTATCAATAACCTGGAAATAAAATGGGCTTTTCCTTGACATATGTTGAGTAGCATTGCTTCCTTATGGTCATTTTTAATATTTAGCAAGCTGCAATCCTCAATCTTACCAGTTTTAATACTTTCACAACAAAGTCACTGGCTATAGTTTCCATGCAAATATGTTACCAATGTGGAACTGCTTCAACTTAACAAATATCAGAATGATTTTGTACAATTTTAATTGGGTTTAACATTGAGAATTGTTTCAGACCCGACCAGAAGCACCACAGACTCTGGACACTTACCAGAGATGTAAACTCCCAGGCCTCCCCTGTTGAATGAACGTGGGGGAGGTCCACGTGTTTGGCAAGACTTTTAGGTGATTCTCATACATAAGTGCTGAAGTGCGCACAGCACCGGAGAGGTTCAGTAAGAGTACTCGTCCTCACAGGGAGACAAGTGGGCACGGTTGTTTGGAGAGAGATGGATTTAACAGATGTTGGGGTTGAAGTTGTAACACATCTGTACAATGAAAAAAGAGAAGGGAGCTGGGGGTATGATTACAAAATGACAGTTATGGAAAAAGACATACTTAAGGGGGTTGGGAGTATATTATTTGTTATTAACATACTGAAGACATGGAATTGCCAAATGAAGACTTAAAATACTACCAGTAGTGTATCAAACAATACACTCCATCCACCATATTATCATCTTTTACCTCCCCACTAAATAACTAGTTTATTTTTTAACTTTACCTATGGAACAAAAAATTATTTAAGTGTAAACTTTTAAAAGCATATCATACTATATGTAGTTTTCTATGATCAGCTTCTTTTGTGCTGTTCCCTACCATAGAAGCTCATTAATTTTAATTGCCTATTAATACTTCATGGTGTAAATATACCATGTCTATCAAACCATTCTCTCTTCTATTAACTTAGTATTTGGTTTATTTCTAGCTTTTGCTATTACAAACTGCCACACACATCCTTGCTCACGATGCTTGGAGGACAGTATAGCAGTGTGCAGTACCTAAGCAGAACTACTACAGTTGAAAGAAGTATACAGTTTAACTTTACAAGGTGCTACCAAGCTGTTTTTCCAAAATGGGTCTTTCTTAACACTTCTCACGTTATACATCCCTTACTTTTCTACTATGAATTTTTACTTTAGCATAATTGTACTTGGCTGTGTCTCAGTACTTTTGCCTGAGGGATACAGGAAGCAATCTGTTTACTCACTATGATGAACAGCAAGGAGTGTGCACATGTGCACAGGATTTGACTCACCTATATACTCCATCTAACCTGCACATCACAGAGGGTCCAATAGGCTTTCAACACTAGAATTTGTTAAAAATGTTTTGTTTTGATCTTTCTGGTAGAAGTAGCCCCCCATTTAGTACAATAGTACATGAAAAACCAGAGCTGCAAGTTTCAGAGGAGGTCAAAAATGAATCATCAGATTGCTCATGCATGAATGACGAAGAAGATCCATTATGGTAAAATGCATGCCTTCATAAGAGGAGTGGTAGGGCTGATGATGATGACGACACTGGTCATGTGAGCCAAAGTTCCTGTGACAGTGAAATGCAGCAAGAATCAACTGATACAGATACATGGAATGCAGATCTCCTTGGTTCAGACGATGAAGAAAACAGCAACGAGTACATATTTGACTAGTTGAAATGTTGTGAAATGACCACATAACCTAATGGAATGATCTGATGTCAGAACTAGGCCCAAAAACATAGACAGTATCTTGGCACGGGTGAAACATATTGGACAGGGGCTGGGGATTTAGCTCAGCGGCAAAGCGCCTGCCTGGCAAGCGCAAGGTCGTGAGTTCGGTTCCCGGTACCGG